AATGACACTGATCCAAAATATCTGGGTGGCAAGAGCAGGTCACATACTGCCAGATATAGGGCAACACCAATCTCACTTGAGAAACATGCCCAATATTTCTAATAAAGAACAGAGGTCTCTCTCCATCCCTCATCTCCATGAGCCTGACAAAGGAACAATGAATCAGAAATGGAGAATCGAAAAGTATGAAAACCAGAAGGAACAGCAGAGATCTAACCCAACTCCCTCATTTTAGCCTTGAAGAAACGAAGGCCCTCAGGGGGATGTCACGTGCCTCACAGCACAGAGTAAGTCCATGACAGAACGCAAACTAAACCTAGGTCTCCCGGTTGCCAGCCCCGGTGCTGTGTCCTTTTTGGCTCTGGTGGTCAAACACTGTATAAAATGGTCATGGGGCACTGCTTAAGCAATGGGACGAAACCAAGGGACTAAACTAAACCAAAGGTGAAAAACAAGGGACAAAAGTGGGTCAAATGGAGTCCGTTTTGAGAAGTAGAGCAGGTGAATGCACAGATGTAGGGACAAGAGGGGAGGTCTGGGTAGACATATACAATGCACTAATCATGTACATTGGTTTCATTTTCTGCGTGGGTTTCATTTTCTTCAGTTATCAGTATTTTCTACTTTTATACAATAATTATATATTGCTTTTGAAATAAATTTTAAAAGCTTCCTTGGTTGCTTTATTGATCATCTGATGGATCTAATAATGGTGGCAGTATGACATGGTAGCATAAGTATCGTGGAACTGGAAGTCACACAAATGTGGGTCCCAACAGCAGCTCGACCACCTTCTACTAGTGGGACCTTGGGCAACGCACTGGACCTATCAAGCCTCTGTGTCCTCATGCAGAATGATGACGATGGTAACCTTGCAAATGTGTAACCTTTTAGTGCAGGAAGAGAAGACAGCACACCCAATGCCTGGCACATAACAGATACGTAATAAAATCATAAGTAAATAGCATTCAAACCACATCTGCGTCATGGTTACATCCTACATCATTACACTATGCCTGTGCCCTGAAAAGATTATGTCATTTCATTTCATGCTCGTGTCACTTGTGTGTGCCAGTCACCTGTGTGTGCCAGAATAATTTATAGGGTGGCCGGATGGTCGCTCACTTTCTGGGTTCTGAGAAAGGATGAGCACAAACGTGGAAGAAGAACAGCTTTTCCACCACCCGATGAGTCTCCTGAGTGCTCTGAGTGACTGACGCAGGTTGCTGGCTATCGGGTGTAAGCAAGCGGCAAGCACCACAGTGTGAAACGGAACACAAACTTTTTGAAAGAAACTGCTTTCATCAATAGTAATAAACAGTTTTTGAGCATGACACAGGGATGGCAGCACCGTCATTTCACTTCGCCTCTCCACCAAGGCCTTCAAGTACAGCGGAGGGTAGAAATAATCTGGACTGGGAGTAAGTGTGTGTGTTTCTTTCCCAGCTCTGTAATTACATGGTTGTGACTATAAACAAGTCATTTCACCTCTACGGATCTCGGGTTCCCTTCTGTAAGATGGGAGGCTGGAACCAGATGAATTTCAGCTTTAAAATCCTGTGGTCTGCTTCCCACGCATTCAAGGCCTCCTGGAGCCAGAGCCCCAGCTCTCCCAGTACACGTCACCCTCTCCCCATCAGGCTCCATCTGCTCTGGCTGAACAATCGCGAGGCTCGCGCGTGGTTTCTCCTCGGCTTTGCTCTTCAGCACATATGGGGTGTTAGGCTCTCCCTTCCACTTACCCCTTCTTGCCATCCTTGCAGACGCAACACAAGTCTCCCTGTGACGAGGGATTTTCTCTGGCCATCTCAGTCTTCCCTAACTTCCCCGTCCTTTTGCGTAGATACTGTTTAATGTGTCTTCATAAAACTTCCTGAGTTAGACTGAGAAACACATCGAGGGCAGAGTTCCAAGTCTGATACCATTTCCTTATCGCCCCACATGATGCCACACACGCAGACCCTTCCTTGGCTCTTTTGTAAAAGAGATACCACCATCATCTATCTATCAGAGTTGCTGGGAAGAATAAATGAGGTATTTGTGTGAAAATGTCCAGCATGTTGACTCGAGTCAATTGGAAACTCAAATACTAATTTCTCTCCTCTCCTTTCTCTCTATTTGGTGACTGGCCTTCCCACAAGGTGTTCTACTGAAAAACGCATTCGTTTGGAAGACGAGCACTAGGTTACGCCGGCAGCCTAAGAGGACCTTGGGTAAGTCACAATTTCTCTACAGCCTAGGTTTCTTTTTGTTTCAAAGGAAGACAAACAGCACCTGTTCTCATCTCTTATGACAGGAGGATGAAATGAGATGATCCATGAGAAGGCACTTTCTTTTGAAGGGCTTCTGGCATTATTATTTTTCATAAGTCCTAGTTTCAGAAAGAAAAACCTTAAAACAGCACAAGCAGCAGCAAGATGTCAATGTTAACAGGTGATTTGATGATGACTGTGAAAATCCCACTCTTGATATAGACTAGAAATGTCAGAAAGTTGCATTACTGTTCCTTGGGGTAGAAAAGCACAGATACTGAAAAGATTAGGAAGATTTCTGTTTTGCACATAATCACCTGGGGCATTACTCGTCTCCCATGCTGACATATTTCCTAAGTCAAACAACATCATAAACACATCTGGGGGGCTTTGTGGGCCTCAGAATCTGGACATATCCATTTGACAGTGTTAACTGCAAACTAATAATAAAAACAAAAAAAGTGACATTAAACCCTTTTTATTTATTGGAAATGAACTTCATTACTATCCTCTTCTGTATGAAGTATGCCAAGGTTAGAAGTAGGGAAAGGGAAGAGAAAAATATGTAGTCTCCAAAATAAAGTGGGTTTCTGTATGAAGTTATTAACATGAGAAAGAACCATTAGACATGGTGGGGATGGCCAGGATTAAAACATATCTGTAAAGGGACAATTCTGTCCCCAGTCATTTTGTGAAAAAAATTTGAGGAACATGATTATGGGAAGGGAATTTGGAGAGAAGCATATTAGAAGAAAAATATTTTTCTAACAACAAAAGAAAGGCATCAGACATTGGTGACAAAAAATATTTTAGAACTATAATCTAAGGACTCTGCTTTTCTTCCATTTCAGAATGTAATCACCCAGGAAAGTAGGTAAGGAGAGGTGTGTGGTGTGGTGTGAGGGGGGTGGTGTGTGTGTGTGTGTGTGTGTGTGTGTGTGTGTGTGTGTGTGTGTGTG